TTCCTATCCAATATCACTTTTTGATAGGAATTTTGAGTCTTGTTTAGATCAAATGATTTTTTATTAATTTTTCTTTAATAAAATTCTTTCATTTGTACTAAAAAATAAAATAAAATAAAATATCTAATAAAAAATCAATTATAAATCCATCATATAGCTCATATGTATTTAAAAGCAACATGTAAAACCATCCACATTATAGATTAAGGTTGGCACATGCATATATGCAATCGACATGCAATTCCTAGACCATCGATCTAGCATCAACAACAATTAACAAGCAATATGTAATAAAAATGGAGCCAAATTGTTGCTTCTAAAGCCAACTTGGCAATTACCAATGCCGATGCCAAACAATCTTGGATCCCAATTCAAGTTATTGATACAAGTGCAATCCTTTTGATAGCTACAGCTCCAAACACTTGCACTCCACTCATTTATATGTATTGCTATTTGTGTAAATAGATCTAATTTTTAGATTGATTGAAATGAATATGAAATAAATGTCAAAAACAAAAACTATATTGAGCTTGTTATATATATGTATATTTATATATATATTTTTTCTTAATATTTTTTTATTATTTTTTTATTATAGTTAGTACGTGAATTTATTCAAAAGTCCATATAATTTATTTATGTGTCCATTTATTTATGAATTTATTCAAATAAGTGAAAATATTATTTAGTCAATTATTTTGATTATTAGATATTTGAATAAATGAAAAACAATAGAAAAACCCAACATCCAAGTAAAATACTAAGAACTTTCCATAGGCTTTAGAGATATTATATGTTTAGAAAAACATGCAGTATATGATTTTATGTTTTTCTTTTTTCTGTCCTTTTTTTCAATTTACTTGTCAAAATATTAGTTTAAAACATAAATCTCATCTACCAATTAATTCTTACATTTGCAATAGTATTCAAGGGCCATTACTTTATCATATTACTTCCAAAACAAGGTGACAAGCTCCAGTTCTTTTGTATATATATATATATATATATATATATATATACATACATACATGTATGAATAATCACATTGAATTAAAATTATAACATTAAAATAAATAAATAAATTCATGCCATAAATTAATCTCTAAATTATTGAATTATTAAATTATTAAAATGAGAGTTTGCATATTGAGAATGTGTGGTATTTATTGTCTACTGAATTAATTTAAATCCAAATAGCTGCAACTGCTTTAAGTTCATGTTATGTTTTTGAGTTTTATATGCTTATCTTCCAAACGCTCCTTGGAGAATGTCTTATTCTCTTAGTAGATTGCTATTAAAAGTACTTTTTTCGTTTTTCTTTTCTAGTGGGATGAATGAGCCGTTTGTTTTTATCATTATTAAGCTAAATTTTAAGGAATGAGCTGAGCTTTATAAAGCAGCAGTTGGTGATATTAGTGGAAGATGTTTATCCTTCCCACTATTCCAACACATTCCTTAGAGAATTTGAATTTCTGAATATACATTTATATATTTACATACATGTATAAGCATACTTGCATGTACGAATGTGTGTGTTATATTAGAAAATGAGAAAATGCTATATTACAAAAACACTTGGTAGTTTTGTATTATATATAGTAAATATATAATAAAACCCCACAAAGAATGGGATCCAATGGGATGGATTACGCAATAGAAGCAAGTGGAGTGGGGAAAAAAGTAAAAGTAAAAGGTGGTTTCCGCCTGTTTACTGGTTGGGTTCTATTCACACGGCTAAATATTTGGACCCAATGGTTATCCGCGAGGGACATTCCGGTGGAATATTCCTGTTCTCTCTTGGGTTCTACCTCATCTGGTCCTGTGGAATTGGGCGCTCCCCTGCGGATCAGCCCGCTCTCGCGTGGCCTTTCGAATGAACTGCCACTTGTCGATGCCCGTGATCGTATCCTTTTCACACTAGCGGGCGCAGAAATAGGACCCCGTTCGAGACGGAATTGGTCCACGTGGAGACCACGTGTAGCTCCCCTTCTCCCCCGCTGAATTGTTCGTTGGCTTCCCGCCTCTGTTCACACAGCAGCCTGGGCTATTGACTCAAGCTTGTTTTCATTCATCCATATAATTATATCCATCCATCTCAAACTTGATCCATTGTGGATAATATGTTAGTGAATGATTTCTTTGATTTTGGCCAATGAGATGGCTTCTCTATGTCTTTTTGTTTTATAATTAAGTTTCTTTATTATATATATAAATATATATATATATATATATATACACACTATTTTAGACATATATGTATATGTGTATATGTAAGTTCAAGTATATGATTTTATTTATTTTTTATTATTTATTTTTCGTTTCGGGTTTTTCCACAAGTGGTTGCATACATTGGTACGTTATAGTGATGAACTAAGAATTTTCAATTTCTAATTAGATTTTATTAAAAAAAAAATTCAAATCTGATTTGTAATTGAATTCAAGTATGATTGAAGTAAAAAAGTCGTATTTTAATAGAGTTGGTGATGAGATGCAATAAAAAAATAAAAAAATAAAAGTTGTAGTTTTTTAGAAAACTTGATATTAGAAAGCTGTATTCTAAATACTTTAAATATTCAAAAGATCATTACAACTCATGTAATGGACATAAAAACGACCATATAATGTATGTTTACATTATATTTACTTTGTTACTTTTTTCCCCACTCCACTTATTTACTTTGTTACTTTTGTTACCTTTTCTCACAACTCTTTTCCACAATCCTGCTTGCCTTTGATAGCAATGTTTTATTTCATTTGCCAAAAAAAGCAAATATATAAAAAAATTGAACATTACAGCCAGAAGTGATACACTTGTTTAGTGGAAGTTCCAGTTAGTTTTTTGGAGACAAAGATAGTAAAACATGTTGGACTTGCATAAACTGTGATTTAGGGTTAAATAAAACAAATCAAAACAATTTTCCTTGTTGATAAACTTATGTCTTTGTTTATGCTTCGTGATCCAGTTTAGAAGGGAAAAAAAGAGAGAGCGTGTGTTTGAAAATGTTATGATATTTTATAAATGAATGGATACAACAAGTGGATATTTCTTTTTAACAAGTACTTGAGAATCATAACCCATAAAATAAAACTATAAAAAAGAGCATTAGCAGCCATAACCACATTCCCTTTCCCTTTTTACTTAGATTGTGAGGGGCTCCTTATTCTTGCAAAATAATGATTAGGTGTTTAATTCAATGCACAATAAAAGTTGAAGTCTTTAGCAAAATTGAAACTAAACCAAATCGTTTTTAGTTAAGTTACTCAAATTCTTGCCTACTAATCACCTTTCCTCTTTTTTCTATTTTAAAAAATAAACAACCAAATAAAATGTAGTTGGTTTTAGTTTGTTTTTTTGTTTTTTTGTTTTTTGCATGAGTTTGGTCAACAACTTTATTGTTTGTTATTATTGTTATTAATTTTATAATTTTACATTACATTTTAAATGTGGATGTATGTTGCACTTCATTTTCATAACATAATATCTCAAAAAAATGTTAAAATTTCATTTGTGGATCTAGAAGTTGAATCAACATAATATAGTGAAGGGAAAATCATTGAAACAGAGGAATGGTGTGTCAATAGTGGCTTTTCCTGATCCATGTAGCTTCTTTTTTTATATTTGTATACAAAGAAGAGATATAACAAATAAAATGAGACAAATTCTCATTTAAGCAAAAATCAACAACAATGTCAAAAGCATAATTTGTCTCAGCCCACCATGTCATTCTGATGTTGCCAAGCAGAAGAAGCCTCAGCAATTTTAGTGTGGAAGCAAATTTAATCTAAAATATTAATAGGACAAAGGCTTCCTTTTTCTATATATATACATACATATATACATATATATACATATATATTTCTTACACTTTACAAACATCTGGGACTTGACGCTCTGAACTGGGACTTTGCTTATTCAGGGATTGAATTTGCAATCAAACACCCAAATTCAGGGAGAATTATAATTATTAAACCAATAAAATAATGAAAACGAAGTGGCTCAATCCAAATGCGGATGATGATGGGTTCATGATCTGATATGATATTGCTTGAATCCCTACTTCCTGCCTTGTACGAAAAAGAAAAGAAAAGAACAGAAAATGAAGTATAAAAGGACATAAATTAACTTACACTGTTTGTTGAAATTAATCCCCAAAGGTGGGGGTTTTAGGGTTGTGGATCAATAAGATCATTCCGGGATGACATTCTTGCACTTTTTACACAAACTGGACAAAGCTCTGTTTGAATCAACTGAGAATATGAATATATATATATATATATATATATCCTGGAACCTGAGAATGATCAGTCTGTGATTCTAAACTCATTCTTTAGTTGACATATTTAATTAGGACTATATTGTTCTCATCCAATCATATATATATATATATATATATTACTAAAAAAAACTCAACAGTGTTTATGAGAGAATGTTAAAGACAATGGCTCTGTATCATTATCCAACAGCAGTCTCATGTCCAACAGGATGATTACTTACTGTAAGACTAAGTTACAGTGTATGATTGTTCGATGTTCCAATGTTGTTGTTTACATGATGGTGTATGATTTGAAGTAGTGACATCTACAACAATGCATTTGAATTATATACTAAAAAAATGCAGTGAGAAAGATTAACAAACTCTAATCACATACAATTTAATTATGGAATTTCAACACTTAATACAGCTCTCACACACACACACACAAAGAGAGTTAAAAAAAAATAAAAATTAAAATAATACATTCTACTGTGAACATCAGCAGGCGAAAATGTATATGATGCTGTGAACTCAACATAAAAGGTTCCACCATTTCCAACTCGTCCCATATCCACCGAATCATAGAATTTTCAGCACTAAAAATTCATGAGGCCATGGAAGGCTTTCATGTATTAATCAATGGAGGCAACTCAGCAAAACAAAAGCCATCACGAGCACCGAGATAAGGCGCATAAAGTATAAAACATAAAAAAAAAAAAAAAAAAAAAAAAAAAAACACTACCTTGTGGGGATTGATTCCTGTTCGAAAGCAAAATCCTTTACGCTTGAAAATAAAAAATAAAAAATAAATGTAATCCCTGGGGCAAAATTGTATGGGACACGCTGGCGGTGGAGGGAGGGGTAGGGAGGGTCTTGTGACCCGGACTGAGAAGGTCTTGTGCCCTCGTCGACGCCCACTGAGTCTGAATCTCACCCTCCACGCTTCTTCATGGTGCCTGCGTCGGCGTTGAATTCGAGGCTGTGGATCGGGCGGTGGAATGTGTGTCTCCTTCGACAAATGGAGATCACTCTTCCCTTAGCGAATTCGCAGTTTGAGCACACCGCAATGTTGTCCACATGAGGAAGAAGGCCGAGCAACCGACGTTGCGGTTTGTGTTGGATTTCGGCGAGTTTCGAAATCTGCTTGATATGGGGGTGGGGGAGCTAGTGACGGACTGGGGATTCAGTGTGTGTGTGTGTGAGTGTGGCTGTGGGAAGGTCGTTAAGGGGGTGGGTATCTAGATTTTAGAGGGGAAACGAGGTGCTTGTGAGACTCCAAGGACCAGGCATCGCTGATGGCCTCGGCAATGTATTTGGCATCGAAGGTTGCTCCCAGAATCCCTTTCCTCCCAAACCCGGCGACGAAGAGGCCGCGTCCCGCCTTCCATGTTCCCAGGGAAGGATTCTTCGGCAGGCCTTCGGGGGAGAAGAAACCGCCATCGTCGCTGAGCCATCGCGGGACATTGCTCCTGTACCCGGTGGCCAGCACGACAGCATCGAACTCCGCGAATTGGTCGTTTTCGAACTTGGCGCCTTGGGAGGTGAGATGAGTTACGCCCGGACACACCTTGATGGCGCCGCTCTTGATCTTGGCGAATGTGCCCACGTCTAGAATGGGCGTCTTGCCCTGCTCGCACTTGATGGTCATCGGCCCATTCGCAGGGCGTTTGAAGCCATAGCTCGTCGTGTCGCCCAGCACTGCCCGGGCGTACACCACCAGAAGCGCGTCCGTGAACCACAGCGGGAAGCGCTTCATCATGCTCATGGCCACGGCGAACGTGGACACGCCCAGAATTTCCCTCGGGAGAATGTGCACCGGGCTGCGCACAACAAGCGAGGGTTTAGCATTGAAATTCGCCAGGTCCAAGGCAATCTCCATCCCCGAGTTTCCACACCCTACGACGAGCACTCGCTGCCCCATGTAATCGGCTCCTGTCTTGTAATTGCTCGAGTGCAATACTGGGCCTCTGAAGTCTCTCAACCCCTGCATGTCAGGAGTGTAAGCCTCGGCGTTCTCCCCGGATGCAACAATCAACCACCGCGAACAATACTCCGTCACGCACTCTCCAGAACCCGCGCTGGAAGGCTGCGATTCAACCTTCCAGCATGACAGCTGAGGGTCGTAATACGCAGCGTTAATCTTCGTGTTAAACTGAGCTCTCATGTCAAAATGCCGGAAGTAATTCTCCAAGTAGTCGACGAATTGCTTCCTGTTCGGATACATCGGATAATCCTCCGGGAAAGGGTAGTGCGGCAGCTCGCAGAATTGTTTCGGGATGTGGAGATGAAGGCGGTCATAAGCCTTGTACTTCCACAATGAACCAATACCGTCCGATTTCTCAATGATCAAGGAAGGCACTCCCTTCATCGTGAGGCATGCGGCAACTGCCAACCCCGAGGGCCCGCCTCCCACGATAATGGCACCCTCGACGAAAGTAGGAGCCGAATTTGCCATCACGGAGGAGACATTTCCTGCTTCACGAGTCATTTCCTCCAACCCTGGCGAGTGGGAGAATGCAAAGTAGGGTGGCATTGTGAAAGTTCCAACGTGCAACTTCACAGTGACAAAAATAATACCTCGAACACACACCACAAAAAACCAAAGCTGACCGCTGCAGTAGGTCGTGACAACCCAACCAAACCGTCCCAAATTACATGTTCACCCCGTCGCGAGCCTCGACCCAGCAGTAGTGGTTCAATCGACGAAATCGTGCCGTCTGGTTTCAGGCCAAACCATAAAGTGCTCACGTCAACGTTCAGGTCCCCACGAAACGCTCGAATGCAGCCGCTAGGTTCCTAATGAACATATAAAAACAATCACACACACACAGGCACACTTCCAAGTAGAGCTCCAGCACCTCGAACATGACACCTCGAACCCAACGCTGGGATCCTGCGAGGAGGAAAGCCACGGTCGGAGCAGGTCATGAAGAGTTGGGAGCCAGATCTAAGCCTCGCATGAATGCTCAACTAGAACGCTGAAGGAAGGCGACTCTACGTTCACGAGGCGATATATACAACCACTGTCGAGGCACACAGGCTGGATGAGAGGATAGAGGTGCTACCTTGCTGGAGGTATGAAGGAATCAGTTCTGTATTACCTTCTTTAGTGGACTTCATTCTAAACACACCTACACATATGCACAAATAGTCTCTCTCCCTCACCTCCTTGACGACCCATCCCTGCGCCGCAAAGCCAAACCAAGCCCGTTCCGCCGCAATCGTTAAACGCAGTACTCAAGTAAAACAATCACTCCTCTGTACAGTGCGGCGCAGTTTTCTGACCCCTTACCACGGAATCCGCGGCTCCAATTCACCGAAATCTCAAGCCTTTCTCATTTCCTAGCACCAGTGTTCTTACTCTCACCCAGGTCTAGTTTAGCTCATGTTGGTGGTGTTGAGTTTCATCTCTCATTGATTTAATTTGGTTGTTTTTTCGCCTTCCCAGTATCGTTCGCTCATTCATTGCGTCTAGATTTGCTCTATCATGTCCCATCATGTCTATATGCCAGTGCCCCCTCCCAGAGGTGCAAGGATTTGAGTCACACAAACACAATCCTGAAATCAGATCACAGCTACATTTTTTTTCTCCCTTCCACAGGGTGCATGCATTACATTCATGCATGTGAGGTTGTGGGCTGGGTTTGTCAGCTCCATCACCACCAGGTTCATGAGCTCATGCTGCTCCCTTCTCTCCATTCTCATGAAGGCCCCATTGTAGCTCCCCCACCCACCTTCTCATATGCAAGCCCCCTTTGCCTTGCTTTACTTCCACCCTGTGTGTGGTCTCTAGCTCTCTCTCTCTTTCTATTGTGGGCTCTTTTCACCTTGAGTTTGACCTCATGTGCTTTGGGAGCTACCCCAATGTCAAGTTCTCCCCCCCCCACAATGACATGGCTACCCAAGTGTGCCACTTTCTTTTGTTACATGCACATGTTATTTTTTTCTTTAAATTTATTTTACAGTATTTTTTTGGTTCCATATCTGTAAAAAATATAAATAAATAAATAAATAAATTATTGGAACGATCATAACACATACTAGAAGTTGCAAATAGGTCCAAGTCAAGATTTGGACTGTTGGTTTTAAATACATAACTTCTTTATGAACAAATATCCAAAAATCAAGAATCTAAGAGAAGTCAAGAAAGAAGGAAATAATATATATATATATATATATATAAAAGGAATTTTTAAATTGACCCAAGAATTTACTAAATTGACCCACCCATCTTAACCATCATCAAAAAATTCTCCACTTTTGGTTCTGCATTGGTCAAAAATCAATGAAAAAATGGTTGAATTCTCAACCAATGATGATAGGTGGGTCAATTTAATAAAAGCTTGGGTCAATTCAACAATTCCCTACATATATCTATATATATGTATATATATATATATATATATATATAGTATAAACATCATTTCATAAAATAACAAATAAAAATAAAAGTTAAGAATTAAGTTAAAATCTTTGTCAAGTTTAAAACTTTCTACTTGAGTTTTACAACATAGGCTAAAATATACTAAGTGAAAAAAATTTAATTATTATCCACTCAATCACATAAGTGTTTACTTTATAAATTTTATCAAATAGAGTTAGCTTATTATGTAGTGTAAATGTACAATTTTTTTTTTTTTTTTTTGATTCTTGATTATAGACATGAAAGTCAACAAAGTGACTTTGGCTATTGCAAAAAAAACCATTAAAATCTCCAATACAGTTATCCAATTTATAACGGCATACCGAGGTATATATAAATATATATACGTAAATCCTGAAAATATACTATGAAAGTTTTACTAGTGCACAGTTGGATAAAATCGTAGAATATATGCACACATCAGGGCTCGAACAACCACACTATTTTTTTTGTAGATGAACGACCGATGAATGTGTCCTCCACCACATGTGCTCCAATGGCCACTGAAGCCTTTATAAGGCAGGAAAACATCCTTTAGAATGAGCGAATCTGCTTCGAACCAAGAGACTCCACATTAATAGAAAAGGGTCAAGTTAGTTTTTCCCCCACTTGGGGCAAGGGGGCAAACGCTGTCCCACGTGGAATCTGGCACTCATACGTGGCCTTTCAGAATTCCCTTCATATATTTCCATATATCTTGTTAGTTATCTTAACTTCCGAAATTATCACTGAAATTTTCTAATAGAAGAAAAAAAATTCTTTTTCACATGTAAGTGACCCTTATAGTATCCCTTATTCATAAAAACATGCCCACTTCTGTTGATGATTTCTTTTTCTTTTCTTCTTTTTAAAAACAATGTTAAAGAAACATCAAAGCACTACACAACTGCAGTTCCAAAAGCACCCCAACCTACTATTTTGTTTGAGGAATACTTTGGTGAAGAATGCTGCGCTTCATCAATATGGGAAAGAGTTTAAAAAGACGACAAATAGGGGGGAATGAGATGTGAATATTTAAATATATATATATATATATATATACCAAGAGAGATAAGAGGGAGCCGAAGGGTTTCCGAATAACAAGGTCTAATGGCAAAGAGGACAACAAACAAACAAAGAGGACAACAAACAAACAAAGGCGAGGAAATCCCCAGAAAACGCACAGTGGGAATGCAAATTAGTATGGGCTAAAATTAGACCCTTATTGTGTAGCCAAGAGCTCTATGCTCCCATGAAGCAGGCACCGAATAAGGCCACCCCCCGAAAGCTTGGAGTGAGTGGGTTATGTGACCCCGCCAACTGTCAGTCCACCTCAGCCAATTGAGGGCCCACCCCACTTCTCGCCAGCTGGCGCCAACGTCATCACACTCTCATCGCATTAGTGGCGGTGAGGATAGGATTGAATTTTTTCATGTGGGTTGAATATCGGTTCCTGAAGAGAATTTTGTTGCATTGCTGTGGGACTCCCCGTCAGATGCTGATGCTGCTGCTCTCGCTTTGGGAGTCAGCCTCGTAACTAGCATCAGAAGTTTCGATTCTGGTTGAATCGTTGTTCGAGCTTTTAGATTCATTAGTCACTGTGACCGTGTTCAGAAACATCTATTTCCTCATGAGGAATTAAGAACACACAGACATGGATGGCATTGAATTAGCCTCTGAATTTGATATTGAACAGTGAGTTGTTTTTCTGAAAAACTTGATGCTTGATCATCCCAGTGGCACCTCCTCAGATGAAGTCCAGGAGGGATCTCTAAGGAGTTGAAAAGCGCCAAAACCTAGAAACCCTCTGAGCACTTAACCCTAAAATAGGGGATTCTAGTGTCGCAGCATTTTCTATAGATTTACCAAAACCAGCCTCCGGCTTCAGATCTGAGTTCCTCGACGTAGACCCGCAGAGGTCGTAGAAGGCGATGATGCAGATGCGCTTCGACCATGAATCTGTGAGTCATTTCGCTGAGCCACGAACACGAGAACTAAGAATAGGACACAACTACCGAGTGCAGTTGCATCCCAACCTCTTCCCATTCCACAGAGGCCGTTAACTCTAACGAACTACCCATTGGGTCCGGTCAAGGGCAATCGAACTCACCGAGAGATCGGAGGAAAAAATTAGGCGAAGGCGGGTCGAAACTGGGGAAGTTTTTCGCAACCTGTGCGCATCAGTCCCGAGAATTCTGCTAATACCAGAACCAGAAGGGGAATTGTCCTAACCTCCTCCCTGCACACTGCGATGGCCAGAAACGTCCTAATGCGTCCAATGGCTGGAATTTCCAACCCGGATTTTGCGTCGCCCGATGAACCAGCGTCGGGGGTTAACCGTCACCTAAGTCTATAGTTAGAAGAACGCTGAGTGGCGATGAAAAACCTATAGGTGTTAATTTTAGGGTTTCTATTGTTGAGTGGATCGGATGCGGCATGAAGCCACAGCTCCGGTGCCGATGGAATAACCGAACCTAGAGGCTTCCACTCCTCCCCTTTTCGGAAGCACGAGCGGCCAATTGTCAGATTGGATGAACAGAAAATCGTGTGACTTCGTCGAATCCAGGCTTCGTCGGATATCACATGGATGGAATTAGGGTTTTACTGGGCCAGGTGGTAAATTGCCGCTTGAACTGGCGGTGCAACGTGGAAATTGTGTTTTCGGAAACGTTGATTTACTTCCCTTGATTTGAGCATTAATAAAATGCGCTTGTAACTTTGCTTTTACTCCTCACAATTTGGAATTTTTCCACTAAGTAAGGATAAAAATTGCTTGCTGATGTCAATGGATGGGATTCGATAACCAAAAGAAGATTTTATTGTTTGAGTAGATCTTAAAAAAATAAGATTTCATTTCACTTTTCAATAAATTACTTGTCTCCATTTTTATTTATGGAAATAATTTTTTTTGTCTTGTTTTGTGTTATATATTTGTTTTTCTAATGTTTTGTAACGAAGCTTCAAAATAAGAAAGAATGTTGTGTAATACTAGATATGTATTAATCTTTAAGATTTTTGGGTAAATAGAAATCACATACAAAAGATTTACTGTGGAAAATAATGGAATATTTACTGTAGAATTTATGGGATGAGGAATTTTAAGTATGCCATTTTAAACTATTTGTGAAAATGTATCATTATTGTGATACATAACCTTAAAGAATTAAACTAGATATGAACATCAAGTGTAAATAATCATACTAGGACAATGCTAAGTATTTAAGGTTTAGGATCTTGTATTAATATGTAAGCATGCAATAGTACAATATTCTTGACATTTTTTAAACAATATATGTTCTACACTTTTAATATTTATTATTTATTAATTATACATTCTTATAAATTCTTTTTAGCTAGTAAACTTGATAGCAATTTTATTCTTTTATTTTGTTTTGTTGTGAAGGTTAGTGTAATAAAGATTATTTATTTATATTTATATTTATACATACTATACATATATACATATATCATATCAATAAAATATTATTTAAAAATCAATCAATAATAATAATCATATCATTTTTATCATCTTCTATTTTTGAGGTCATTGAGTATTTTAAGAAATAAGTTCTGATGTCTTATAAATCTTACAAAATACAACAACTGATTTTTTTTTATTGTGTTTGCATTCGTCCTTCACATGTATACATGATTATAAAACATTACCATAACATTTTTCTGAATATGATTAAAAGACAATCTCCCCAAACTTTAATCTTTTAAAAATTTGAAGCTAATACAAATGTTTTTTTTTTTTTTTTTTTTTTTTTTTTTTGCAAGATTAAATGTATTTGAAGATTTCCAAATGTAGTGAAATAGTTATATATATAGAGGCATAATTAATGCAAAACAATAAAAATACTTCATTCTATAAAAAAAAATTAAAATTAATTATATAACATTTATTTCTTATTAGAATTTTGTGTATGATATACTTATTAATCATTTGATATATTTTCTTTTTTTATTATTTTAATGCTATATGTATAATATAA